CGTGTACCAGCTGTCAGATCCGATTGCCAAACCTGAAAGCAGCAAGCTTTTGTGCTAAATCGGTGCGTGGGTGGCCATGGGCTCAAGTTTTGAGTACAACAAGTGTTTTCGACGAATTTGACGGCAGTGCTACTACGTAGAAACGTACGAGTTACATGTTCGTGTAATGTCTGGACCCTCTCAGGAAAGATTGTTCCTGAGACCAGGACTACATTTGTTCATAAGGTCATGAGGTTACTAGCTCGATACTTCGAGCTCGTAGATGCATTTACTCCGACCTTGAAGGAGCGTGGATTAAAATCTTCTTTCTCGTAGATATTGCTGGTCGCCACCTTTAATCAAATGCCCCGCGTACAACATAGCAACAAAATGATAGTCGCGCTGTACAGCGCGACTACCATTTTGTACTGTGTACAGCATTTGTACCGGTATCTGGATCTCAGCGTGTTTTCGTGCTGTCAAATTCAAACGTTCTTAGAACTGTCGATAGCAGCTGTCGTGTCCAAGAAATTGCCAGCAAAACGGTACATTATTGACATTGAGATGCTGTCTTCGGCAGCTGAATCCATTCTTCGTTTGACCGCTGGAAAGTTATGAATGCTGCCTGATTCCTCGTATTGTACAATCGAGCCTGCGAGTTTAGCTCCAGCATCTTTGAAGACAAGGCACCGTTCCTTTGAGTCACGTTGAGATCCCGATGTGCGTAGCAATGCCCGTCATACATAAAATGTGGCGATGCCCTTTTTTGCTGTACGTTTGACTACCCATGTGGTGCAATCTAACGAAATGGGCGTGGCAATCATCTGCCATCGGGTTGTGGAGAATCAATTGTCAACAGATATAATCCTGTCTCTTGACAGATTGGCATGGTTGGAGCCACGAGGATTACATGTCCTGTATCTGTTCAAAGCGCAACATGGCGCTGGATTTACAAATTTGTTAAGCGATACGATTCGACTCGGACGGATTCTGAGGGGACGAATTCGCGGCTTCGTGACGAAAGCGAGTGACCGACCACGGCTGCAGAAATACGAAGGATGGAATGGATCGCGCACTTCTCGAACTCAAACATTAATTCTATTTACTTGACCTCTCTGTCGACTAGTAACCACTCCATGCGTAGCTACTGTTCTAGAGTTCACACGGACGAAAACCAAGCAAAATACGTAGTCTGGTATACAGAGACGTTAGCAGTCAATGCTGCTGGGCTGGCCACTGCACGTGCCCGTCTTGGACGCGCTGACCGTAATGCCGGAGAACGACCAGTCCGACACCACCTTTGAGTTCACCACAATGTCGTACAAGTTGGTGGCCGTACCGGACAAACCCGAAACGGTAATATCCTCGATAGTAACTGCACTGGTGGGGGATCCAGTGTATCCGCCCTCGGACTTGCTGTAGTCTGAGTGGAACACGATGGCGTTTTCCACATTCGACAGCTTGTTGTTGCTGTACTTCACGTTGGAGACGAGGCCCTTGAGACCGATGATTGTCTTGATACGGATGCCGTTGACGCTGTTGACGATACTGTTACCGCTCACAGTCAGACCTGAGACCGTATCGGACGAACTAACAGTCGAACCACCGAGGGAACCGATCGAAATGCCGTGGCCGCCGCTGCAGTAGTTGTTACTGAAGACCGTGTTGGTGCTGGACTGCATGGCGAGGCAATCGTCCTGGTTGTAGATCTTGTTACCGGTGATGGTCACGTAGTCGTTGCCGCTCAAGTCGAATCCGTCCGTGTTCTTGGCCAAATCATCACCGGCGCTGGCATCAAGCGTGAGCCCACTGATGGTTGTCTTCTGTGAGTTGAGGATACTAAAAGTGCGATACGGCATGTTCTTGAGTGTGAAACCCGACACTGTTGAGGAGAGGACCTTGTTCATGCGGAAGAAGACCGGGCGACTGATGGACGTGCCCTGTTTCCAGTACCAAGAGCCTTGCCCGTCAAGTGTGCCAGACCCCTTGACGGTAAGGCTGCTACCGGTGAGTAGCACTAGTGGGCCATCCCATTTAGCCGTACCGAAGGTGGTGGTACCGGTGAATTCGATGGTGGCTCCGGTCTTGGCCTTGCTCAAGTCCAGCGTGACGCCAGCCGGCACGGACAGCGAACTGATGGTGACGGTGCTGCAGGACGAGATGTCGGTGCCGGACTTGTATGTACCAGTAAGTGTGCAGCTACTGCTGCCTTCTGCTTCTTGGCGTAACATGGGTGTGCCATTGACGGAGGCAGCGATGAGTGCGAAAGCGGTGGACACGGCGGACAGGAGCTTCATCGCTTGGTGGTGGTGGTTATGATTGAAAGAAAGCAAACTGCGGAATGAGAAATGGATAAGGTGGTAAACTGGTGAAGAAGAAGAGAGATTCATCGCTAAAGGCATGGCATTGACTAGCCGTTCTACCGAAGTCACACGGATACCGTTTGCTTTAGGATAGGTTGCGCATGGATTGGCAAATGGTGAGTCAACTGGTAAGCCGTCGTGCAGTAAGCTATTAGTCCCCGGCACACAAGTTCAAAGATTGTCATACATACAAAGGGGTTTGCTGCCCGTCCGTCCGTAGGCATCTTAGTTGTTTCTTGTTCAACAGATGAGCTCGCGCGTTGAGTCGAAATCGTGTCAATAGTTCAGCTGGTGATAGTTGCGGCACCATATTGTAGGACGGTCTTTTGTTGGCGCTGATTTACGCAAAGGCGACAGGATGGATGTACATGGCGTACTGCAGCATGGAATACAGCAGCTACAAATACTTTGCCAGGCAGGGCAACCAGCCAAAGCGATGCTAGATATAGCACCTCTACGAATACTGAGACGGTCCTAGATTTTGTGAAGTCATAGCGATATTCGCTTAGATCAGCTCCCATAGAGTACCTAAGAG